TTTCTCCCCTTTTTACTTCCCTGAAATTGTTTAGTCGTTATTGCGCAACAGAACGATCTCTTCTATCACAGCCACTATTGGCGAAAATCCGCATCAAGATTGGGGGGATTGGCCCATGACACGTATCGACAGCTGAATGGGTGGCTTTGCCGACTTTCCGCACTCGTCTTACGCTCTCTCTTCAAACAAGAACAATGGACAATTTACAGCGTCAAACACTGCATTAACGAACGATATAACAGTTCGTTTGTAGTTTTTTTTTTCCTTTCTGCACGGATGGGCAGACTTTACTTCTCTCAAAACAAAGAAGATGCAATGTCAGTATGTGTGTGTATGAACTTGCAAAATATTGAATTCGAAGTAAAACAATACAGGCACTTCGAACGTTCCTGTACCAAGTCTGAGGGCTAGCTAGTTTGTGTCAATGTGTGTGTCTCTGTGCGTCTGTGTGTTTGTCTCTGGCAGCACTGGAAAACAATACCTCACAGATTAAATGGGTCACGCTGAACGGAACTCAAGAGGCGGGAAAGACACCCAAGACTTTTTGTTGTCGCTATAATAGTTTCGTTTGGTACACATTTTGACTACATCCTTATTTTCGTTTACTTTCTCAGTCACACAGAATATCAACTTCACAAGGTGAAAAAAAATAGTTTTAAAATGAAAACAGACAGAAATAAGACAAGCCCCTAAACTGTATTATGCGTGCCACATGACAATAGAAAAGGATAATTTTATTCGTAAAAACAGATAAAAGTGTAGTTAATGAATTTTTTTTAAAGGTTTGATAAATTTGGGAAAAAACGAAAATATTCCATTCTAAATGCCGGCCAGTCGATCAGGACGTTTCGTCTGAATTTCACATTTTAATGTTTTCTTAAATAAATATATCAGCATAAAAGCCAAACATCTATACACTTCTGAGCAGTACATACAATATTGTGTAGCAATTATTCAAATCAAACTAATTATAATGCAGAATTGAACGCGTGGAGTCACGCAGCCCATGGCTAATGAAGACAAACGATGCTGCGGGGTGACATAGTGGCGGCACTTGACAGGTCGGGCTGACAAAGACACTTCACGGGGCACACAACAACGCTGGCGGTCACACGGATAGAGAGGGGTGAAGGTTCTACCTCGCTATAAAATATGAAGTGTAAGGCCACTGTAAAGACAGGACTGCCGAATCAAAAGTCCGTCCCCAATATGATCAGAACAAGATGAAAGTCTTTTTAAAAAATTTTAAAAAAAACAAAAAAAAACTCCCCTCTTTAGGACCCAAATTTTTCGGATGGGGAGGGGGTAAAATACATCCACGTTTAATATTTCACCCCCCCCGATTAAAATTTTAAAAAACAATTTCGTCTCGTTGCGGAAATCGAATAAGGGTTGCTCTCAAAGTTGTTCAGCATGATACCTACTGAGCTATTGACGTCTCCTCTAAAGGAGGAAGGAGAAGGAGGGAAGGGGAGGGAGGTAGGGAGAGATGAAGGAAGGGAGAGATGGAGGGAGTGAGAGACAGAGGGAGGGAGACAATGGGGGACAGAGGGACAGGGAAGGAGGTAAGGAGGTAGGAAGAGACGGAGGGAGGCAAGGAGGGGGGAGGGACGGAAGGAGATGGATTGAGATAGCGAGAAAAGGGGAGGGAGAGGGAGGAGAGCGGGGAAAGTATCAAGACAGGAGCACACATGACAGGAGGCGGGGGACGGGCGTGGCTGATGTATGTTGTGCGGTAGGTGACCGCGAGTCAACAATCAGCATAAACTATCATCTTTTTTTTGTCCTTAATAAACTGAGATGTTTTGAAACCCCCCTTTTCAAGCGCCTGATATCGTGACTGTACGTGTTATCAACCCAACTGATACAATTACGACCACTGATGACGTAGGCTGTTGCGACCCTGCCTTACACGGCCAACCAGATGTGATGAATACATCCAAGCAGAATGATTTAGATACTGAAGAAAACAACTTCACAATGTGCTAACTGAACTTTCGTCCCCTGCTTTATTTAAAGGTAAGCAGTCTACCCATCAAACCACAGATACCAGCTCGGTGCCACAAGGAACGACCACAGATTGTGCGAGAACATGGGGATTCTCACAAGAATGCCAACACTTCAAATAATTCGTGATGAAAAAAATTACCATCTTCAAGTTCGGCAAGAGACAAATATTTCAGATACACAGCGCATAATGTGACAACACGCACATTCAAAAGAGTGGAATTAATTTTTTCACTAATATTTTTGAAACAACAAATTGAACAAAGATACAAAATCTGACTATAGAAAAGAAAAACATATTCAGAGAAAGAGAAAGTGCCATAAAAAAAATATATGATCGTGAAAATAATTTGAATTGACAAGGAACTGAAAAGAACACAATATGTGTCTATAAAATAACCTGGAACAACATCAACTTGCCCAGACAAACATGGGGCTCAGATTCAGATTGTAACAAAAAGTCCTACTGGGACAAATGAACCCTATTTCAGTAACAATGGGCAAGAAAATACATAAAACAATGAACACTGAACTAACGTGAAAATAGAAACCATTCTAAAGAAAATGTTGATCACTTTCTAAAAAAAAAAAAAAAAGAAAAAGGAAAGAAGATAAGGGAAAATTCCGAACGTTCCAAAAAAAAAAAAAGAAGAAATGTTCGGATGGGAGACGTTATTTCGATCCGTAGGACTCATATCTCTTCCCCCCCCCCCCAAGAAAACATGGTAACGTCCAAGGGAGATAATTGAAAGAAGCATACATGGCTAATTTCAACACGAGTTGTATTCCTATTCCCAAAAAAGTGAAACAGGAATACGAGTTGTAGGTGGCGGTTCGGGGAAATAAGAAAAAAAAATCAACACACTTGAAAAAAAAATTACGGGATATACAATATCGAAACAAGTAGAATGAACACCAAAAAACGGCTAGTTACCTCTTCCACTTCAGTTTGCTAAGGAGAGTGTAAGAAAAAGGAGAGGCAAGTTGAGAATGATGTGACTTAAGGAGAATAAGTAGCCACACAAACTGGAAAAACCAAAATCCTTCACTCCTAAAGTTCAAGTTGACACACATGACACACAAAATGAATGTATCCTCAAAAATCCTTGTTGGAATAATCAACACATTATGACAAAGCGTAACAATATCCACTTCAGAACAATTTTTTAAAATATATAGATAGGCATGGGAGATAACAGACTTCATCAGGTATTTTTCAATTTTTGGGTCTTGTATTTCATTAGCAGTAAAGACACAAACAGTGACAGAAGTCTAGAAGAAATTCTCCCTTCTTAAAAAAACAAACATGTTCCTATTGTATAATTTGGTTGCATCTTTTATTCCAATAAATCATACCAATGCTTGCAAGGAAATGTTGACTGCAGTAAGAGTACAAAACCAGGGACATTTGATTCACAAATAAATAAACAGAAAAATACATAGAAATAGTAGAATAGTATCTGTCGAAATAGCAGAGATAGTACTGGTAGTAAGAGTAGTGGTGGCAGTAGTAGTATTGGTAGTAAGAGTAGTGGTGGCAGCAGTAGTACTGGTAGTAAGAGTAATGGTGGCAGCAGTAGTATTGGTAGTAAGAGTAGTGGTGGCAGTAGTAATAGTGGTGGTTTTAGAAGCAGTAGCAGCAGCAAATGTAGTGATGACAAATACAGTAGTAGATGTAGCATTATACAGTAGTCATAATAACAATAACAATAATAATAATAATAATACAGAGAGTAGTAAAAAGAGCCACAATCTCATGTCAGCTGTACTCACCCCGAGTAGACGGGCGAGCGATCCACGGGCACGTTGTCCGGGTCAAAGCTGGTGCTGAAGGAAGAGCCGCTGTAAGAGCTGAAGCGATTGGCCTCTCCGCCCACAGGGAGACGGGTCCCGGACGAGGGCGGGGCGCTGTACACAGCGGTGTACGACTGGCTTGTGATCTGAGCGTCCATGTAGTCCTGAAGTACCACACGGGGAGGGCACAAACATTTACAGTTTAGTAAAACATTTTGAGCAGTTACAGTCAGTAGTCTGTCTGCAGGCCACAACTTACAGCTGATAAATAGTCAGTACTTTCTTTCTCTGTTCTTTATAATTAAAAAATTATACGTAAGGGGATGGTGTATGGCAGTACTATAGAATTATTTTAGGATGTTTAAGTTGCAGAAATCAATGCTAGTAACACAAAGAATTATAATTATAGAAAACTAATTCTTAAAAGGCACTTCATTTTATTGTTACTATTATCATCATTATTTATTTTTTATTTATATAGATAAAATTAACATCATTCAGTCATCTTCTTCCACTTAGAAAAACCTAAGCCAGTATTAACTTAATCGATAAATTTCTCTGTCAAGAAAGGCTCGTATCATTCTTTTTATTGTACACAGGTCACCTGAATTATTTGCAGAATGCATTTTTAAAAATAGTTGAACACCCAGAACAAAATGGGAAATACAATCTGCACTTCCTTCATCTTTACAATGCATGATCTATACGAGTTATCATTTCACCATAATAAATAAACAAAGTGAACGAAGTTTTTTTTTAGCATAAATGTGTAAAGATTTAAACAACTTCATACATCCTTAATACAAAGAAGCATGTATAATGAAACCAAAGCAAGTAGACTAAATATTGGTTTGCAGATGAAATCACCAAAACCCGAAAGCAGAGAGAGAAATGCAACAAGGTTATTAGCAAGTTTGATTCCAAATGATTGGGGTATTTGCAGACAATAAAATCTCCTGTTGAAAAAAGGCAGGAACAGAATAAATTTGGTATACGTCAAGTTTCTCCTGTGATCATGTGAACTTCACAAAAGTCTGACCCCGGTGTTTAGTTCACAAAAAACACATATTTCAGCTACACTGATTGCAAGACAGCAGAAAATCTTTAAAGAAAAAAAAAGGAGCATTGACTTTGTCCACAAAGGAACATTTCACAATCCAGAAAGAGACCAATAAGCCCCAATACCAATTAGTGGAGGAGGTTGGCAAGAATCATGTATATGTAAAGTCTTGGGAAGATATAAAACAAAAGGAATTTATTATTATAAATGGGAAAGGGAAACGGGTCAGGCATAGAGAAAGAATCGATTTTAAAAGTATTCAGTAAAACTACAGCGGGTGAGCAGACGGGAGTCATGCATCAATTGTAATATATGCAGGGGAGAATACAGGGGGAGGGGGGTTAGCAAAGAGTAAGGAATTAATTCTCATTTGAGGTTTAAACTTTTTTTAAAGATGTCACAGATTAGACACTCATGATTAATAGGAGAAAGAAATAATAAATCATTGCACAACATAAAAGAATGATATTGTCAGCTTAGATTTTTTTTTTTTTTTCTAATAAGGGTAGGTCTTAGGACTTAGACTTACAGGGTGAAGGGCAGACTGTTTCAGGAGATAATTTTTATTAAACAAAATACTGAAGACATCATGAAAGAGGAAGCACTTGAGAGTGAAACAAAAATAGGGGTGTAGGGAGTGGTGGAGGTAGTGGTGGAGGTGGAGTGGTGGTGGGGGTGGGGGGGAGAGATATATACGGGCAAAAACATTTCTTTGAAGAGCCATCACATGGTGTCAGTTTTTCCTCGACTTGTTCATGTGTACTTTTATCATTATTTGTATTAAGAAAGGAAACACAGTCAAATAATTAATGAAAAAGAGACACATTCCTAGAAATTTTCCTAGACCATTACAGAAATCAGTTCTTTCTTCCTTGTTTTTCATCCTCAAATCTTATCCACAGCAGTCGGCTATCCTGGCAAAATGAATGGAAAAGGGAACACAGGAGGAGAAAAATAGGCTAATAATCTTGAATTTTTTTTCGGAATGTCAGTTCAACATTCCTAAGGAGAAAACACTTTTCTGTTCAACTTCGCCCAAAGCTGTGTTAACAGAACCAGTATTACACTATGACAACTGAACACAAATCAATGTTGACTTAGTTTGATTTTACAGCAGTGAAGTAACTCTACATTATGCAGCTCAGTAATTGTTATAATTGTTTACAAAACACAGCACACCTAAAGTAAATGTCAGCTGCAATCCACACACCGCAATACACCGCAATACAGATGTCGCTGCCCATGCTGATGAAGATGTTACGTTTCTTTCCTTACATAAAGGTAATTTTACAAAAATATTTGACCGTACTAGAAACTTGTTTGCTTCTTTATATCATATTACTTTAGCCCTTCTCAAAACTAGTCTAAATAAAACAAGAAAAAGAATTCCTGCATTCTTTAAAAAATAGAATGGGAGAAGGGAAGGCAGGTATGGCAGGTGCAGGTTAGCTGAAGAAGTGGGTAATGTATGAAACATGTGTGCGCGCAAGACTGAATAAAGAAAAGAAGCATCAAAACATCTCCAGAATTTGATTCCTGAAGAAGGTGTGCTTGGAGGATGAGGTGTGCCATGAAGTCAAAGGTTCTTTATATGGGCACAAGAACCAAAAAGGAACGAGTGACTCCTCTACTATAAGCTCCACCAGGTCAAGCCCCACATTTGCCCATCTATGTACAAAACCACTTAAACTGCAGAAAGCCAGTTGCTCATCCAAAAATAAGCCCATGGAGCTCATTACATCAAAGGGGAAAATTAAAATACATTAAAAAATAAATCAATGATCACTTTCAGAACCATTTCCTCGATACAATAAAGGCACTGTTTTTAATCTAATATCATCCACAGACCCAAATTTGGACAAGCAACTCAAAGTGACTGACCGCACCAGAATTGTTCTAAAATTGTATAAAAGGATCAAGAAAATTTCATACTAGTCCCGTTCCACTTCCATACAGGAGCGACTGCAGGGAGTAACAGGCAATGTTTGAATTAGAATGAAGCTAGAATTATAACTAATATTACAAGAAAATCTTACTATCACTTGAATAAAAAGTGTCTGAATACTAACATTTTATTCATTGATTCCTCGAATAATGTTATCTCATTTAAACTTTGAAAAGTAGAGATTACATATTTACAATTCATTATCAAACCCTCTTGTTCAACACTGGCAATACTTGTACTAGAGAATCACTTGAATACTTGCGACTGCTTTAACTTTCGCTACCATATCCACTTCTATAAGAGTCCAGAAAAATTAGTTAATTTCCCCCACTATGTTTGTTACTGCTTAAGGTTAAATAAAATCCCAGTTTCTAGCAGAAGCTTATAAATCATTAACTGTATTTCACCACTATTCTCTTTCTTCCTTATAAAAATGATGTATGATTTAAGTTGTATAAGGCAGCTACGTTAAAAGTACGTACTGGCACACTTCATGGGGGCACTTTGCTAGTAAAATGAACTGTTTATACGATGGGTTATACAGTATATTATCTAACTTAAAATTAGCAGAAAACCAAGAGTTTGCTAGCAATTTTTCATGAAGAGCAAAAAATTAGCTACATGACTACTCCAAGAGATTAAAGCTAAAAAATGATAAATAGTCCTAGATAGTAGTAAATAGTTGACTGTAGTAGTATATGTGGAGACAAGAGCTCTGTTATGATAAGGGAGTAGAAGCACTGACAGAAGCCTGTGATATTAGAGAAAAAAACAAAGAGATGTCTGCTGCGTAATACTTTGGTTCCATCCCTAGCATCAGTGGCATAGAGGCGTCCCCCACCGGGCGCTGAACTGACGGTCGGTGCGGTGGCCGCGTCAATCAAATCCTCGCCATCATCCGCCGCAGTGATGACCGAATCATCCGGTGGGAAGCGATAAGAGTCACTGTTCTGGTCAGCCTGACTGGGCGTGCTGGAGAACTGACCCTGATAGACCACGTCTTGGCGGGCCCAGTCGGGAGAGGCTGACCCCTGCCACTGGCCCGGCGACGGCAGCTCGGGGGCATTGCGGCCGTAACGCACAGACTGGCGAGCGTACAAGTCTTCCGAGAAAAGAGGGTCTTCTGGACGTTGCTGCTTTTATTGATGATGGGGGGAGGGACAGGGTTGTTGTGTGATAGCAGAATTTTAGTTTAGTATTCATTGCGAGGATATATACCACACTCCGGACCATGGCATGATGTAGACTTGCAATGTTTGACAGACAACAGTGAGAGAGGAATGGGCAGCACACACAAAAGACGATAAAGACTTCAACAGATGACAACAAGCACATGAAATCACTTTGAAAATTGCACTTCATATTTTCCATGCATTATTTCAGGTCCAATCAGCCATGCAAGTACTCAATTAACATTTTCCATGCATGTTTTTAGCTTACTATTTACATGCAAATATAATGTTATCAAAAACCAGACGGAAATTGATGAACAGGGATGTGGAAGTAATCCAGCATGGAAAATACAAAAGAGCAAAACGATGGAAGATGAAAACAGTGACAGTGTGGCCTGAGACATTAGTACATTAACATCATGGGAATATTTTCCCACCACACTGCACATTGCTATTTTCATCCCTCGGTCTAAGTAAAAACTTGATAATAACAACAGTAATACAAGACAATGAGTGATGTCAGGACTCACAAGAGACAACATGCAACAAGGAGATGGTTAACACAACACATGCAAGCAATACAGTAACATGCATGCAACAAAACCAAGTTCTTAATGTCCAAACCTTAATTGTCAAACAAAATGCTACAAATATGAACTAAAGAAAGTAATAAAATGAAACTGGGGGTAATTGGCATCATCAAAACTGTCAACTAAAAAGGGACAGAGTATGTGTCAGGAGGGGAGGAGAGGAGATGTGTGTGATCATGGTGGCAAAGGTGATGACGAGGGAGTGCTTGGATGGGCATGGAATGGGTTCAACACCGATCTAAAACAATGATTTAAAAAGTTTTGGGAGGACAGGAGGACACTCATCAAAGATGCAGTGGTGAGAGAGGAAATAGAACACTATGCATTCAAGCCCTACAAGATAATTTCCATTCTAGGAAGACAAACAGGGTGGGTGGGTATGGAATTCATTTTAAAAAGTGCCATCTATATTTGAGAAGAGTCAATCCTTCACCAATCATTTTAACGTAAAGATCTTGACTCGTGACAATTTTTTCCTCTTACTTCTTGTTTTTTGTTTGGGTTGGGGGGGTTTTTAAGGGAGGGGGTGGGGATAGGGGGTCCCAGTTTTCTTGTTAGTAACAACCTCCTACAGAAAACCCAACACGTGGGAGGCCTTAGTCAGTACTGGCGGTCTTTACCTTCTTGTGAAAGGGGTCTTCGGCGACATATTTCAAATCATCATCTCCGAAAATATCTCCAGTGCTATCCCCCATGGAGCGCTCTCGCGAAGCCTCCATATTGATGGAGTCTCTGCCCAGTGTGGAGTAGTCGGTGCTGTCCCCAAACACGCTGTCCATGCGCGACCTGTCCGCTTCCAAGTTCTACGTACACATAACACATACACAGGTATAAACACATAAAGCCAACAAATTCTACATATTGCAAACATAAAAAAGCATAAACATAAGGGGGTTGGTGAATTGTAGAACACTACAGTGTGGGAGACGAAGGTGGGGCAGGGGATCCCCCAGGTTGATGGGGAAAGTATTTCATAACATAAAGAGAGAGAGAAAGCAAGATAGAGACGGGCACTTAGCAAAACAACAATAAATGCATTTACTGAACAACATAAAAAGATATAACAAACACAGACACAAGAATACATACATATATATATATATAAAAAGTTTTAAATTATAATCAATAAAAAAAAGTGTTATGGGATGTAACATTTATAGGAAATGAAAAAATATTCTCAAAAAAGAAAAAATGAAAATTAATCCATCACAAGTATCCAAAACACCATTGAACTAACGAAACCAATACAGGTTTTTATCTACTGTGAAGAAAAGAATATGCTGCAAAGTTCTGTGCATTTGATACAAAAGTTGATGAAGACGACGACAACAACTCTCTTTTATAGTGAGGTAGTTTCATTGTGAAAAGCATTTGTGATGTAGAAAGAAAAATGCGCCCCAAAATTGCAAATCAGCTGGAAAATCCCTTGCCAAACAATAACCTTGAAGCTCATACGTAGCTGGTGAGAAAAGCGATTAAAAATAAGAACGTTAGCATTTTGTTCTTCCTACTGTAATTTCTCAGTCTGTATCAAAATACAAGCTGTCCAGGCCTATTCAACACGACTATAAAAAAAACAAACTACAGTCAATACTGCAGTGACTTTCATTTAAACTTCACAAAAATCAAAGTGAATTTTACCAAATTTTTACATATTTTTTTCTGAGCCAGAATCAGACCCAAATGCTGTGCAATAGAAAGCTGTGTCAGCTGTTACTGAATTGATGTAGATAAAAGAACAACCGGTGCAAATGAAAATGTTCACTGTTAAAAGTGGGAGTATTTGTTGGGGTTTATTTTTTGTACGGAGAGTGTGTCACAGGAGACAGGACAAAAAGAGAAGGAAGGAAGTGAACAAGGAAAGAAAAAACAAGCAAATATAACACAAAAGACAAGACAAAAACAGTGCAGACAGCAGAGATGACAAACAGATTAATGTACTGAGCTAAAAATGGGCCACGAAATAAAAAATCTACACAAAATTTTTCCCAGAAGGAAAAATTTGACTCAAACGACATGTAGGATAGTTGAAGTTGATGTTTAAAACCCTACTAGAAGTCGTCTTCAAGGTGGAGGCCCTTGTCCCCAGACAAGAAAGCAGGCAGAAAGAAAATGTAACCAACCGCATCGGCCATCACAGCAGCCCACACAGTACGACACACACATATACCAGGACATAAAATACTTCAAACTAATAACTTGAAAAGCTAAATTTACACATCAACAACCCCCCCCCCCTCCTCCTCCTCAGTGATTCAGGACAGTGATCCCAGTTCCATTAATCTTCTTTTTTTTTAGATTCCAGCCCATAACGCTAAATAGAGCCTAGGGCAATAGTTCTGTGCACCAGATGGTACACATGAAGCAGTTTTTCTTCATATAGTTCATTCCTGTCTGGTTGGTGTTTCCTCTGTTTCTCAGAAAACAGACTTTGTCATGCCACATACACATGCTGTGTTAAGTCTCCGCCACAAGAAGGGACTGAAGTAGAGGATCAAGGACAAAAAAACAACTGAATAGTAGTGCACATGTCAGACAGATAACCACGTGCTGGTAAAACATTTAGGTACAGAATGCTTATTTTTTCATAGAATTAATGACAAAATTGCCTCAGTACACGAAAGAGAAGATTATGATTTTAAAATTAGAATCCTCTCCCTCCCCCTTGCATAATTTTCCAGTAATATGACAAAATTAGAAGTGTTAAAGAGAGACTTATTTATTTCAACAGATGTCACAACTGTAGCAACCTGAGAGAGATATTCCTCTTACATTACCCTGGCTAAAGCTGTTGATGCTGATTTAAAAAAAAAAAATCTGGGCTCCAATCCCGTCCCCTTAAGTTGATAAAGTAAGAATCCACATTAAGAAAAAGATTAAAAATGCTCCACAGTGCTGCTCATGCAAAGGTAACATTCTGCTTGGGGGGGGGGGGGGGGGAACAAAAACAAAAAAACTGGCCAAGTACCTGGAGTGCTGGGGGATCTATGAAGATGCAGACTCCACAAAAAAAAGATTAACGGTTCCATGCCTTGACATGCATGTACGTGTGTGTAGGTTTGTGTACTTGTCTCACCCGAGAGGAGAGATAGTAGAAAGAGTAAGGGAACAGCATATGAGAAAACTCCTCCTCCTCCTCCTCCTCATGGGAGTCACTGTGACCCGTGGCTCGAACCAACACATTGCCTGCACCGGGGGCAGCAGCCTTGATTGATATAAGTAACCAATGAAATGAGAACTTATCTCACATCCATTTCCTGACATTTTCTCAGTTCACTACTCTTATTTTTTCCAGAGTTCTAAGCGCCAGTGTCTTCGTAGTAGACTTTACGGTTCAGGACTTCAACCGCCTTTCTTTAAAATCAAAGAACACAAGTTTGAGTTCACAGTACTATGCTTATGCACAACTGCAGTTTCAATATTATGGTATCATGTTATAGTTTGTTCGTAATATTCAAATTCATTCAGAAGGGCTCACAAAAATTCTGCATGATGCATTAATGTTTCTTTTATGCACCTAGTGCTCACCATGCCTCCTTTCTCCACCTGCCAGACAAACAGGAATAAAATAACAAGCTCTCCCAACTATTTTACCCAAAAAGTATAAACTTAATGAGGAAGCCTCTTTCGTATGAGTGAAAAAATATAAGTGTACTTTTGTACTAAAACAAATAAATAAGAGTTGTTTTTATTTTTTTTACTTGTATTAGCGAGGTCGAGTGGATACGCATAATGATATACAGCCTAACATGTTATGATGGTCAATAAAAGTGTCAAAGACGTTTGTGAGGGTAACTTATTTCAATCTACATGAATAGACAATGGCATGTCTATACTGCTTTACAAAGATGAAGAAAAGGATGGAGTTTTCTTTTCTATTTTTTTTAAAACAATGTGCAAACCCATGGGGAACCTTTATGAGACTGTAGAAAACAGTAAAGGTACAGGTTCCGACAAGACAAAAGAAAGGATTTGTTTTGTTCTATAGTTTGTTGTCTGTCTTAGCAAGCAGGTGAAGTACAAACACGACAGGATATAGAGCTGTATGAGGACAGGGTCAAGGATGGTGGTATCTCCGTTACCTTGTCTTTAGGAGACAAGGTGTCTCCATGGTAGTATCTCATCTCTTCTTCGTAATCAGGTCCGTTCTCCAAGTAGGAGGGGTAATGCATTGTGGCACCCATCTGGCTGACCATGCGGCCGCGATGGTCTGTGGCCGGATAGCGCATCTGGGGTGGTTCCTATAGGGCCCACAAGTGGTGGTGAGGGAGTGAGGGTCAAAGCAGTGCAGGCAGGACGGATGGGCACGGATGAACGGACAGGTGGACGAACGGATGTAGAGAGCAAAACAAAAGAACAACACCCAAATGAAATGGAAAAGAGAAAATCAGGCAAAAGATTGTCACAATTAAAGTACTAAAACAAACTAACTACAGAAAATAGAAGCGGCATGAACTGATTGGGTGAAAAATATTTTCTCCCGACACATTCAGGAAATGCAGACAACATATCCAACTCACAACAAAACACCAACTTCCATAAACAGCAAGCCACTGACGGAGACAGATACTTGGTCTAGCTACATTCTCAGCTAAAATATTTACCACAAAACAAGACAGGAACCTCACAAAGGCATTAAAAATATCTTCCTTGAAAGTTTATTCCCCGTTTCTTTTTTCTAGCATCTATCAGTCTTCGAGGGAGAGGGCAGGGGTACTTTTCTCTCAGTGTCTGTTTTTGCACAGTACTGTAGAAAAGTATTTGTAATGTTTTGTCTGCTCTTTGTCTTCGTCTATGTCAAGTGGAGAAGGGGACAGATAATGAACTGTTGTAAATGACAAAATTCTTCAGTTCTATTTGTCATATGTAGGCTACTACAAGTTACTCATAATATACTTGAAAGTATATGCCCTAATAAAGCAACCCTGACATCATCAGCCCAATATTAACAATCCAAAAGCAATATTTTAAATGCCTCTGTGAGCTAAAAGCACTGAAATGTTGCCAGTGAAACAAAATTTGAACTCACAAATATGACACATGCTTCTGAAAACTGATCTAGGGAAAAGGGTACGGAAAGCCGTGCCCCTTGTGATGAGATGCAAGCCAGAATCTCCTGAGCCAAACCTCAAGATTTCAAGTTAGTTATATTCTGTTGTTGTAGTTATTGTCATGAATCCAGTAATTGCTCAGATGTCAATCAGTTTTCTTTAGTTAAATTAACAAAATTATCATCTACACCTCTGCACTTGTTGGATAAATCCAAAATTATTTGGATACCACATTTATGAAGCAAAACTTCAAACATCTTGTTAGGAACAAAGTCGGGAATATGATATTCCAATCAATATTTATAGGTTCCAAACAATTCTTTAGTCAAATGTAGGGCTGTCCCAATGAACAAATCTGTGGCCATATTTGTGAAAACCCAATGGTCTTCTGGCTTGCACTATCAGCATTCCACAAACCAGACCTCTACCAGGAAACACAACCAAAGCTTGGGTCTGTGCCAAAAATCAAAGTGTCCAAACATGTGAATTGTTTAATAATACCCAATAACTCCCAATGAAAAATATGGTTCCGCGTGTGACCCGTGACCTATAACATAATAACTGTTGAAAGCATAAGAATGAGATTTGAAAGCCCAAAAATAGCTCCAAATTCTAACATCAAATATCACCGACGGAAAACACGTACGCACTCAAACAAGTACACAATGAAAACACACCAACAAAACATCTTTAAGTAAATTTGCAACGGTCAAGAATAAGACAAACACAGAACTGAGACACACTATAGAACGATCAACATCAAAACATGAGATACTTCACTTTGAATGAGACTTGTAAGAAAAAAGAGACACTTAAAAAAAAGATGAATTCTAATACAGTGGTCTCTCCTAAGCAAATTTTCTGTACTTGGCCACTACCAAAAAGGTCTTAACATGGCGGTAGATACATTATTGGGGGGAACCGCCATGAAATTACAAGGTGGGTGATCCACTGATTTTTTTGGTTTTGGTTTGGGATTTGTTGTTCTTTTGTTGTTTTGGTGGGGGGGAGGGGGGGGGGAAGCATTTTTTATACAGAGAGACCATTGTACTTGAATTTACACATGTATACAGATACATAATAAATAGATATATATATATATAGTAAGTAACAGCTATGACATGAAATAACTTGGAGGTGACTCTGAAACAATAGGTCACATGGTGTTCCTGATTGGCCCACCTTGTCAAAAGACACATCCAGAGGAGATGTGCTGCCTCCTCTCTCCAGAGAGATGCTGTCCTCTCCTGAAATGAAAGCAGCAGCAAAACAATGATTATAAACATGTTTGGTATCAATTCAACTTAAGAAATATAATTTATGCAAATAAATGATGGTATTCTTTAAGCATATATATATATAAATTTGATGTTCCAATAAAATTTGGCACAGTAAAGATAAAATAGAGAGTGGAACCTAATATCATTAGCTACAAAACGATTGCAAATTTTACTTAGGTATCCTAAAGTATAGTAATTACGTCACAACATTTCCTCATCAAATGGTATTCAATGAAGAAAAATAGCATTAATATTCAATTATGTGCTCATTGTCATATGACTAAATTTTCTGCCTAATCTCAAAGGCATAATTAGAAGGATACAAGACTTATAATATTATGTAAAACATTTTACCTGGAACAATAGAAGTGCACAAACAATGAAAGGAAAACTCACTAATATCAAAAACCCCATGAAAGTTTACAACAGCAAACACAACACTATTTTCAAAACTCATCATTAAAACAGCCAAATAAAACAAAAAGAAATCATTAATGCCAATGAACTGTTTACCATGCCACTCATCATCTGATGAATCTATGTAACGAATGGAATCTAATGAGAGAAAATCAGAAATTGCTGGGTGATATCCTGTTCAAATGAAATCTCTTTCAACAGTTTCATCTATCTGTGTAATCAAGATTTGTGTTACATTAAACTTTTCCCCACGAGAGTTCTAGAAAATGTGTAAGTAATATAACAATATATTCATTACTGAAGAACAAGAGTTTGTAAACAAAGTGTAATACTCCATTGTGTTGAGAACCAAAACATGCAGCCTTGATACTGAATACAAATATATTGCATTGTACAAAGTGCAGTATGACCACAAGTACTGACTAACACAAGACTACACTATCAAATTGTCTGGTAATGTCTGTAAAAAAAAAACTGGTACATCAGTAAGCTCCGACAATGTTAGTCACAAACCGCAGTCTACTCTCATTATATACCATATTATGGCATTGACCAGTACAACTGCTAAAACTACCAAAGAAACTGAAAAGAATGCTCAAGTTCCAATAAAAATGCCCTGCTGCAGAGTAACGAAGGCATGAACCTTTGATATACTTCCCAAGGGTATGAGTAAGTGCTTAGGCCAGTTATATCATTAGAAACTGTCAGCAGAGTATGGTCTCATAACAAGTCTTTCAAATAGTCCTATTTCTTCATCTCCTGCACATTGGCAAGCCAGAGACACCTTTTTTTGAATAAACATCAAAATCTGAACTAACTGAAGCTGCTGGTTATGCGAGAGGCAAGCAAGTAGGAACTGCCTACACAGATAGCTAACATTTACCTATTTCAAACCTAGCCATAAAAGCAAGAGAGCTAAAAAAAAACCTCGAATGAACCAGTAAGTCAATAAACACACAAGCAAATTTCTTAAACAGAAAAGCATGAATATTTAATTCGGTACTGTCCAGTTGTGAATGTCGCGCAAATAAATGATGCAGCTACATTTTTCATAAGTACAACCATTCACAAAAAGCCTGTCAGTGTCTGTACACCTCTTGGAGTGAATGGATCAATATGATTCTTATCTTCAGTCACACCATCTAAATTTCATTCTTAATATCATACAAAGAGAAATCTCTGCAGTTGCTTGAAATTTTAACAAATGGGGAGTGCAGCACTGTTAGTAAAAAAGCCATCTAGCCGTCTGCCAACCTGTCTGACATGTCAGAGACATCAAACGCGCCATAGCAGATTTCTTGTCGCATGAAGCTTGTACACTTTTGAATAAGGCATAGGGAAAAAGCCTTGACTTTGAAAGTTCATAAAAACCCGGCAGGAAAAAAAACTGACAAATCTTTGACGAACTAAATGCATAGCTTTAAAATCTCTCACTTGTAACTCCCACCCTTTCCAAAGATTTATTTGAATTTAAGTTGGCCTAGTCCTGTATATCTTTGAGTAAAAAATTCAAATACAAAAAAAATTTTGCTTTTCCTTCATGCTGTTTCAAAGAAACTCTGCAATGGAAAATCTTAACACATTAGTTTGTTGAAAATAGCACCTGTATCAGTAAGTGAAAAGTGCTACACTGGCCCATTCAAAGTGCTTCAGTTTCTTTATGCAGAAAAACAAAAGTTCCTCATGTGAAAAAACAAAAACATGCTTCTACATTACAGAATCTGAGACAAAAATGTTAAGTATACCACAAAACAGTCAACAAACTAGTTACTGCTACGCACGTAGAAGAAAAAAACCCTAGTCGAACAAGATGAGAGGGGGGGGGCAAAGGAAGACAGATAGAGAGAAAAACAGAAAGAAGGGCGGGGTGGGGTGGGGGGGGGGGAGAGAGAGAGAACAGAAAACAAGGGGGGGGGGGAGCGAGATAAGGTAGGTAGGAAAAAGGGGGGGGGGGGGGGGGGGGGTGTAACGACAGGAAAGAGAAGATATGAGACCAGAACAATGGGAGTTCATTTCTCAAGAAAAAAAGAAATATTATTATTTCACTTTAGGCAAGTCTTGGCAACTATAGTATAAGTGAAAAGCTCTCTAACAGGGCATCTCCGTCAGGCAGCATTTAAAGCTGGGTGAGGAGTAACGGGCAATAAACCTACTGGATAAGGAGGGAGAGGAATTTTTAATCTAAGAGCTATCATTTTTACACAGGCACGGAACTTCCAATCCAGGGTAAGGAATTTCAATCAAGGTTAGGAATTTCAAATCAAACTAAAAAATTTTGCCATGGGGATGAACTTTACTCAGGCATGAAACTCCTAACAATTCTAAGAGTTCTCTACCCCTATCAACACATTTTAGGTACCAAAAAAAAGAATAAAGAGGCAGGCTGCAGAGACCCTGCCATCTTGACGGAGTTTTGCTGTGGGGTATCACTTCCCATAGGCGCCACCCTACCACATACTTTGGTGGGAGAAACTTCATATCTTGGGGAAGGGATTTTAAAGAGGATGAAAATAAAAGGGGAGAAATTCCAATAGCAGACGAATTCAAGGAAAGAATATTTTTCCAAAGAAATAAGAAATTCCAAAAGAATTTAATAACTGCACTCGAGTAGAAAATGTTCAAAACACAAAGTCTAGAATAATCACACAGTGCCACATTCTTTAAGAGCCTGTCATGGTTTCTCCTGATTGCTCTAAGCAAAGACTAAGCCCAACTCTACAATGAATAAACAAAAATAACAGGCAAGCAGCTACATGTGGTGCAGTAACACAGACTTCCCAACAAATTAAAAAAACAACTCATATTGATAATAATTCCAAGCCTGTAAGTCAGTAAACTGTACAAAAAAGCAAATGCTGCTCAGCCTCTTCTTCCTTCGCTTACATCAAACCTTTTCTTTCTTCACCATGAGGTCTTCATTGGCTCAAACTCCTTTTCTCTCCCATTACTGGGTTAAAATTTGATTCATTTCAAATTCCATTTTCACTTATTCTCTTGACTAAGTTCTACAGCTTGAATTCTTTTTTTTTTTAAATTACAAGTAGATCTATATCTTAAAGATACAGAGACGTTAGACTATAAACAGTCTGCAATTTGTACCCCTTCCTCAATGAGTACTACAGGATCAAAACCTTGAGACCTTTGTCTTCAGCTACAAGCAATTACTTTCTACTACTTGATTAAATCTACTCTACTACATTTTAAAGAACTATTTTAAAATCTAAAACAAACAAAAGCCCACTCCAATGTGACCACAGGGAAGAGGTCAGTTCAAGAAGGTTATTATCTTATTTCATTTTTAAAAAAGGAAAAAACAAAGCCAGTGTGCGTGTGTGTGTTCAAACTTACTACTTCCGAAACTAAGGGTACTAAGTCGTTTCCCTTCTGGGGAGGAAAGGGCAGACATGGGCACTAGATTCAAACACAAACTCTTCACAAACATGCTCAGTAAAACATTTAAAACATGGAAACAACACTTAAATGTCTGGGTTAATGAAATCTTGACTCATTTCTAGCAAAACATCGATGGTATTCAGCAACTTAATTAGCAATACATTATCATAATGCCCATACTACACGTACGTGCATGAAGGCATAAACAATCAAGCAAATTAAAACAACAACAAAATGTACATTAGAAGTTAAAAAAAAGGCTACAATAAACAAAGATGTTGGACATACAGAGCAACAAATGTTAAAAAACAGCTGCTAGTTCACTATGTGCTCATGTGAATACATTAAACAGTTAATGTGGACACTTGCTACCACAGTACTTGTGAAGTTTATATTCAGTTTATTGTTTGCCTTACTGCTATCATGCGTGTAACGAAGCATGGAGGGTTTCCAAGCATGTATACAGCAAGGGAGGGGGTGGGGGGTGGCGCGCGCGCAGGGCATGCAATGTTATCTCCTTTCCATTATAACTTGTCCTGCCTCACATAACTTTTTCATGGTAGGGTTTAACATCCCTATTGAGGCTAAGGTAATTTAAGATGATATATCCCCCGATTTAAAGCATATCTCCGATCCCATCAATATAAGAGGGTAGAGAGCCATGAAACCTCCCAATGTAACCCAAAAAATGGGCACTCATAGATTCGAACACGAATCATCTGTATCACAGTCCAGATTGATACCAATTGAGCCAACTACAGTGCACCCTTACAAAGCTTTGTAGACGCAGTCACACGCAATGTGATGGAGTCTGAGCCCAAGATCATAATTTTGCAAGAATTGTTTCGAAGAAAGCTTTCTTCTGCGTGTCCTGCCTAGACTTGCTGCCTGGTGTAAGTCAAGCTCATGCATAATTCTACCCAATAGTGCTGTGCTGATGAACGATGCGTGATGTTTAGTCACCTGTTAGAAATCAGCAGAAGTACGTCAAGAATCTAGCAGGTTAATAAATGATATGAACAGTCATCTCGTGGACAATGTATCACGACATTATTGTAAAGGAAAACACTTATTCTGAAGGGAGGAAAAGAACAGCATTAAAGGTCTCTTTCCTAGATTTTCTAAAAAGTATAAATTAGTTTCCCGCTCTTCATAAGTGAGTGATATGTGGTTTTTGTACGAACACTAACATATTCTTCTCTTTCATTTCCTTCCCAAATAAAATCTCTTTTTCCTTCATTGTAATTTCTACTTTTGAAGAAAAAAGTGACTTTCCATATAGAGCAGCTCAGAAACTCAGAACACATTTCTCTTTTAAACAACATAAGTATTTTCCCCTAGTCTGTTACAAAAAGAAGAAAAAAGTGTCACTTACAATTTAAACCGCAAACCACCTCAATCTATGGTTTAAATAGGATTCCCTAACACACCATAATTGTTCTTTCTTAAAAAAACTAAAAAGGTTGTAAATCAAAGGGTTTTGTACCAACACAGGTTTGATCTACATTGGGAAGGGCAAAAAAAAAATACTGTAAACAAAATCCTCATAGCAAAAACTGATCCCATGCAGGCGAACTGAAAATGAACGGACATGATTAGCCAACGAGAAGCGAACATGGAACACTCCACGACGACAAGGGCAGCACACGAGGGGCAAAATAAAAACACCACCGAGCCTGTCAACTGAAAGAAAAAAAAACCACGATGCTTCACAACATTCCAGGTTCACTGCGGAGCCATACGATTGCGCGATCGTAAATCACTGGCGAGCAGTTTCACTTACGAGTCTGGATTTTCTGGCCCTCGTAATAGGGGAGATAAACGTGTTGCTCAGACAGAGGTTTCCCAAAGATGGGAGACTGAGGCAAGAAGTCGTCCGCTGAAGAAAGCGCAGCAAGAGGAAGAAACAAAGGTCGTAACTTGAGGAATACAAGGCTATATATAGCGAGAACATGTCAGGGAGTGAAATACTACACCCCCTTCCACAATCCCACAAAAGAAAAAGGGTAAAGGGATGGAAGAAAACAAAGCAAAAGCAACTCCGTTTTCAGTGCCTTCAGATCGTTTTTTGAAAACAAGATATCTTCTGTCAGAAATGAACAGCTGAATAATACCTGAAGCCCTTCAAAAAACAAAACAGCTGTGGACCTCATCCAGTGACCAATTTTGTCATTGACAAATCCTGCTTGATAAAACTAAAAGCCAACTCAACGCAGTCAGTGAATGTTTGAACGCAGTTGCTTGGGGGAAAAAACATAACGGACTACTGTGAAAAACGTGTACAACTTTGCTGACCATATTATGGTATTTTTTATTTATTATTCTGACAAACCATCTCCACAAACCCCCTTGTGTCTAAACTCACATTTGACGGATAAACGCTAAAGACATAATGTCAGGATAAGTTTTAAACACTAGATGACTGATACAAATATTTAGAAAAGGAATACAAATTTTAGGAGATACATGCAAAGCTGTTGAAGAAAGTAGCCTTTTATAACAATAATCTCAGTTTACGGATAACTATTTTTTGAAGTATACATCTTTCACTGGAAAAAATAAGCATTCTGGAGAAAAAAGGGCAGCTACTTCTGCTCACACACAACACAACTTATCAAAGCTGATGTCACACCACATCTTCATACAACAGTGAGAACCCATATAGGAGAGCACTTCCTACTTGGATCTTATGTTGCATGATACCAAAACATACAACCTTTGAACTTTGATAAATCATATTGTGTGTGCCCAGAAATATTTCATGCACTGCTTAGTCATAAAGAGGACGGTTGGTCAGTCTTTCTTATTACTTAAGCACTGCTGCCATAACTAACATGTAGTAGACATTTCATTCTAGTGACAGAGTATATGTGACACGATGTACATGTGGTAGGAGGAGGCTACGAGGTGTGGGTGAGGTGTGAGCTACCTCCACCATTAGGAACTCCGAGGAAGGAATGCTGCCAGTCCTCTGTAAGGTAAACTTTATCACTAGGAGAACGGCTCAGCCCAGTGGGTCCTGAATGACGAAGGTTTGAACACATATCAAGTGGCTTTGATCATATAGGATTCACACTGGTAAAAGCTTTGCTTTGTTACAGCACCGGCATCAATAGCATCCTTGTTATATCATAGTACTGGCAAGTACATAGTACTAACAGACTTCTTTAAAAAAAAAAAAAAACCTAGCTGTGCCACTTCACAGATCTGCACAAAATTTGTTAACAACAGTTGTTATTCTATTATGAACAATATTTCACGAGCCTTATCTATAATAGTATTTCATCATCTGGAAGTCAATTTGCTTTTAGCGAGAGAATACTAAAAGTTGTGTTTCTTTTAGAAAGATGTATAAAGAGAAATCCATAAGGATCATTTCATGTCCTCTGATGGCACCTTAATTCTTCATCACTATCAATTCAGACAAACATTTATGACTGTAAACCAATGGTAAGAAACTTTTTAAAATTTTGTTCTTGTTATATCCTTAAAATAGCTAGTATTATCCCTCTCTGATGTACTCCAAGATCTAAAAGTGTACTTTGTCACTTAGCCTCGTAAAATAATTTTATGGAAAGTTATGCAAAATCTGGCTTTAGAAAGAAAAAAAAGAAAAGTAAAAGTAAATAGAACAAGTTTTGCATAACTAATATTAAACCTGCGGAGAACACTTCACACTATAGCTACATGGAGGTGGAAATACCTACTAGTAAAGAATAACCCACTACACTCTTAGAAGTTCTACAAAACTAAAGCCAACACCAGACAGAAATCACCGCAGGTAGTTACCGTTGTGGCGACAGATGCAACCACTAGCAGAGGAGACATCCTATCCTTCTACATGGACTTAATCAATTTTTCACTTAAACAGTTTACATTTCACATAACAGACTGTATTAGGTTAGTCACAGAACAAGAACATGAACAGAAGTATCTTTTTATACAAAACAACTTTAAAAAAACAAATGGAAACTGCTTAAAACTGGGAACATTCTTAACGCTGTTATTATTATTGTTGTTACAATAGTTGCTTTAATGATTGTTATGGTTCTTGTTGGACTTTGTGAAACATGTTAGATTAGATAAAGGTAGATGGATGGATGGCTGTACGCAACAGTATTTGTCCCTAGCCTGATACACCAGTATTATGCTTTTTCCGAGTACATAGCAAGCAATGCTGCACACAGCCAATATTGTAAAACACATTGCTTTTTCTTTCATGAGCATCTGGTTTCCATAAAACACAAAAATAAAAACAAAAAGTGGGGAAAATGTTATAGGGTTTTGCCAATATGAGGGCAAAAAACAAGAATAGTCAACAGAAATTAAATTCTTGGGAAAAACCATTAAAAACTTATCATAAATACCAGATGCTCACAAAAAAAGAAATGTTTTACATTATAAGTTGTTGGCTCGCAAAATGGGCAGGGGTAAAGTGTTGTTGCTTCGCCAAATGGAACTCCAAACCCGAGAGGGGGGAAAAATGGTTGGCAGTGGGTTACCTCCGAGGAAACTGTGACTCATGCTCCCAAAAGTGACAAGGGAGACCCGGTCACTTCGATAGGAACCCACATAGCTGCTACCTTTTAGCAGTAGAGGGTTGGAGTTATAGAAAAAGAAACATGTAAATCTTTGCTTAACACTGCATGACACAACTTTCTCTGTATTCTAAAAGGAAAAAATAGCCCGTCTAAAACACATTAGAGAAAAGAAAAGAGATTATCCTTCCTTAATACAGCTTAATACATACACATTTGAACTTATTTCCAGCGACGGTCTTTTCATACTAACAACGAAAGTAAAAAGCGATACAATAAAAAAAATTTTTAACATCTCCAATGCATTTTTTTTCTTTTGTTTTGTTTTAGTCAAACATTTATCACGCAGGCGAGTCTAGCAGACCAAAAAGAAATTTCTCCTTACCCTACTTATAAACCAACAGTAGTGACAAAATTTGAGGGATGTTTTTTAAATCTGAAGCTGAATGTAAAGAATTCTTTTATTACAATCATAAAACCTCAGTATAATTATGTCAAACATTCATTCCATAAGATTATAAGATAAGTAGGAAAATAGAAATTTGAACAAAGAATTTTACCTGTAACACCCAATCTAGACCATATTAGAGATAATGAGGCACCCGATAGACAGGGGATAAAAAATAACAGAAGTTTGTGCAGTTCACAGACACAAACAACAGTTATCAGAATACTACACTGAGCTAGTTCTAGTCTCCACTAAAAAATACACCTTAAGGGAAGATAATATGGCAGTTTGAAACAACAGATTAACATGTGCTTAGGGTCTGTGAAGTACAACATTTTATGCAACTGTCACGACAAAACACACCTATCAATAACGATACTGTCCAATAAATAAACCATTTATACAAGGATCCTAGAATTTGCAATAAAACATATCCACTTTTTATGAGCGGCAGTCTTACCTCCTTCATCCTCTGAGTCGGAGATGAAAGTCTCCTGCATGGTCTCGGGGGAGACGACCTTGTACTTGTCCTCCGACGACTGGACGATGGCGTGGACCTCTGTAACGGGCTTCAAGGTCTCCACCACAGAGATGTAGCCCAGCTTCTGGGCAATGGCCAGAGGAGTTTGGCCATTCTGGAGACACCAAAAATTCAAAATTCTGCATGAAATGACCATTCAGCAACAGATAGAGTAATATGTTTGTATAACATGGCTAGTCTTGAGGAGAAGTGAAAAGAATGCAATGTTTGTGTGTGATGACTAGCACTGAGGCAAGTATAATGGCAACATGGAAATGACAATTCGAGATATTAAAACAAGAAATATGTTTGAATAGAGCAGATAAAATTAAAGGAATATGATGACAAGGAAATAACGGGAAAGTGGCTATGTCAATAAAAGTATATAAATCCAATACTTCTCTCTTATCAAACTCATTAAATCAAGTCAAACACAACAGCAAGGACTGCATCATTTCCTCCATGACCAAGGTAGAATGTACATAACTAATCCTCCAAATAAGTTTCACCAGCAGTGAGGAACACCTTGTATTCCATCAGAGAATAACAAATAAAGACTTGCATCTTCTACAACATGGCAATGGGTCAATAAAACAACCCTGTGCAACAAGTGAAGTTTGGAAAGGAACAAATTCACTCATATAAATGCTTCTAAGAACAACAAAAGTGATGAAAAATGATACCCCTTAAATCTCCTAAACCCTGCTTTTCTTCTTTTTTTTTTAAACCTCTGTATACAAACCTCAAACGTAAGAAGATATTCTGTCAAAAAGAGAGCAATTTAAGGAAGACAAATGTACATCTGAACCTATGAAACATTTCCATAAAACCAAACCAAAATGAGATCAGTTCTCTCCCCTGTAATGTAAGAAGCCAGAGTGTGAGGACTGAGTCAGTGTGACACACTCACGTTGGTGACCGCGTTGGGCGAGGCCTGGTGTTTGAGCAGCGTGCTGACCACTTGGACGTGACCCTGCTGGGCAGCCTGGTGCAAGGGCGTGTAGCCCACCTGAGAACACACAACACCACAGCATGGGTGAAACAACATGCTAAGAGAAGCTGCAAACTTTGAGAGTTTTCAAATCTTGCATCATGAAAAACGATTCTATAAATAGGTCAAAGGAAAAAATAAATACTTTATAAGGGCAAACCAGTCAAAAAATGACGTCAATAAAAATATTTATTGGGGAAAATTATTCAATTCTCAAGTCATGGGGCAAAGTTCAATGATTTAAAAAAGAAAAAACAACAACAACAACACACCCCCCCCCCCCCCCCCCCCCAACTTTAAGGGAGTTTTTAAAGAGTGTGGATGAATGAAACCAAGTCAAATACAAAAATAAATTTGAATAGGGATAATTATTGAGATACAAAAAAAAAGAGACAGATGAACTTTCAAAACAACTAATTTTTTATTTTTATTTTGTTTCAAAGGAAAAAACAAGTAACCAAACCAGATATTCTACAAAAACACTTCACTCAAAAGCCAAACAAAAAACCACTACTTTAGTCTCTCACCTTGGTAGTGGCATTGACAGAGGCATTCTGGTCCAGCAGGAAGCGAACCATATTGATCTGTCCAAAGTGGCAAGCAGTGTGCAGCGGGGTGTAGCCGGCCTTGGTGCTGGTGTCAGTCTCAGAGCCGTACTTGACCAGGATCTCAGCCACCGGCACCTTGTCTTCTTGGGCAGCCAGGTGCATGGGGGTCAGACCGTTCTGCAGAGGGGAGAAGATGAGGAAAAGAGTTGGTCATTGCCAGAAATTGACGGACGAACTATTATTATTAGGGGAGAGAAAGAGAGAAACGGGATAAAGCCAAGGCAACAAAGAGGGGAGGGGAAATACTGCAAGTGAAAGACATTGTAGACTGCACAATTACTATCATGTATGGACAAAAATAAAATTGAAGAAAAGAAAGAAGGAGCACATTCCACCAATGAAATGTGCCCATAAGCCATCTTCTATGACAGTCCATAATAAATTATATGCAATTGGTCTTATTCATGAGGGCAATACAGCAAGAATTTTCAAATATCCATAAAATGACTCCCAATAAATTTCTCCTTGACTGTGAATGACTATATGGCATTAGATCAAAAGGAAAAAAATAATAATGTGCAGCTGTATATTGCTGTACGTACAACGAACAAAAAACACCTGTAAAGACAAACAGGAGAGAGAGAGAGAGAGAGAGAGAGAGAGAGAGAGAGAGAGAGAGAGAGAGAGACATACAGCGAAAAAGTCACCATTTTTAAAATTTAGTTTAAAATATAAGCAGCAGTGTCCCTTACATGCGCCTTGGCGTTGACGTTGGCTTCCTTCTGCAGCAGCAGGGAGACAATGTCCGAGTGTCCTTCCTGGGCGGCCAGGTGGAGCGGTGTGAACCCATTCTTGGACTCAGCATTGGGCTTGGCCCCGTACTCCAGGAGCATGGTGGCGATGTCCATCTGGTTCTTCTTGGCTGCGATGTGCAGAGGGGTGTAGCCATTCTGCTCATCAGAGAGTTAACAACAAAGGATTCATAAGACACCTGGGCATAGGGGGGCGTTTAGTCTTACAATGATAATAGCGATCTTGACCATGACAATAGTGATTTTCTTTTATATAATTAACTTGAAAGTGATAATAATGATAAGCACTATAAAAATTACAATAATAATAACAATATTAAATAATTTATTCTTACAAAAATAAAAATAAAAACAATAGCAATAATAGCAACAAAGCTGAAATATTATATTAAGCTCCTTATCCAAGCAGTGAGTCAAGGTGCATAAATGTTTCTCAATTAAAACACCAGGTTATACTTCATGTGTGCACACTCATGAGTACAGCCCCTCCCACTCCCTCACTTCACTTCTCCTCCCCGGCCAAAGATGACAAATCATTGTTTGGTCTTTTCTTCTTGTTCTTCAAGCGCCAGGACTGAAATGCATCCACCACCCTCAGCCATATACAATAGCTATATAAAATCTTCTTCTAAAACCCTGAATTTTGTTTGCATTGAAACATTTTCATTTTGCAGGATTGACCTCATTTGATAAAACTAAAGTACACTTATCTTCCGAGTATTGCAATTCTTGGTTTAACTTCAGTGGTACATTTTCCATCCCTAGTTCCCCTCTGATTGCCCTGACCAACTGCTGACAAACCTTGGTGGTGGCGTGGGGGTTGGCCTTGTTCTCCAGCAGCAGCTGGGCCACGTTGGGGTGGTTGTAGTGAGTAGCCACATGCAGAGGGGTCAGCCCGTTCTTGCCCTGGACATCTGGGTTCGCATCCTTCTGGAGCAAGAGTCGGGCCACCTTGATGTTTCCATACTTGGCAGCAATGTGCAAGGGAGTGAACCCTTTCTGTAAAACACATACAGACCAACAGTCATGGCTTCATGTCATTCAGCCAACCAGTCAAGTTTTCATTTGATGTGACACATAAAAGACAGTTATTCATATTTTCTTATTGTGGGTTAAAAATTGTTATGTTCATCACAGGATACAAGACAACAGCCAGTAGAAAAGGGAATTTGTGAGACATGCAAAGAAAATGAGTTACTTCTCATATTTTAGCCCTGCAGAAATAGACATGTTGAATTGGTAGACTGAGTCTTTACAATGCATTAGTTGGAAATAATAAAAGACATGGAAAACTTGAAGGAAATGGCATCAGTTGAGAATCTACAAATTTACTCCTGTGTTGATTATCTGCCCATATCACCATTTGTGGATTGCGAGAAGTAAGTCATTTTGTCAGCACGTCCCACATTTTAATCACAAGATGGCAGATGTACAAGCAGAAGAAATAGGACCTACTAGTGACACTCTCCAGCCAACCATATCATCAGAGAACATAAAACATAGACTAATACAGAAGGAAATACTATCAATGTGACATTCATCACAGACAAAAAAAGCAACATAGACCAAAAATCTCTCTCTCTCTCTCTCTCTCTCTCTCTCTCTCTCTCTCTCTCTCTCTCTCCCGCCCTTTCCCCCCTCACCTTAGTGGTGATGTCGTGCTGAGCCTCATGCTCCAGCAGCACCTGCACCACCTCCTCGTGTCCCTCCTTGGCAGCGATGTGCATGGGCGTGTACTTGTCCTTGGTGGTGGAGTCCACCACCGCCCCGTGCTGCAGCAGCAACACCACATTGTCCACATTGCCCAGACGCGACGCGATGTGCAGCGGGGTCTGCTGCTCCTGGACACCCGCAGAAAGAAAAATATATATATAAGAAATTTTGAGCTGTGGGTGCTTATTTGTCAATGCTACTAAGTAAACTGTCACTCTGAAAATGTGTTTTCAATACAGAGTACATATTAACTCTCTAAATGAAATATTCGCAACATAAGGAGACATTGCATCTCTTGCCAACAAGCAGGCTTTATAAAGTATATGACATATAAACACCAAATCTCAAACAAGTCGAAGGACAAATACAGATGACATATATCTTTACAATAAAACACAAAGAACTATACTATAATCAGGACATCCATTTTTCAGTAACAATTAAGATAAACTATCAATTTACCCTGGCTCTCGCATCGACAGTCGCCCCATTTCTCAGGAGGATGCGAATGATGTCGGACTGGTTAGCCCGAGCAGCCAGATGGAGGGAGGTCTCTCCGCGCACGGTGGCCGTGTTGGGGTTGGCGTTGTGCTGGATCAGGTAAATCACGATGTTCATGTGGCCCATGAAGGAGGCCACGTGCAGCGGGGTCAGGCCAGACTGAGGGACAAAGGAAACACAGCAGATGGCTCATTGACTTATTGCGGCATAGGGACAAAAAAAAAAAGAACATTCTGATGATAAGAGTAATTTAGTTTAAGAGTAGAAGCAAGATAAAAAGACAGAAAAAAAACATAACGAAAGAAAAAAAGTAGTAGGACCCATCAGTAGCACATTCCACTTGTGCATATGTTAATTGATTTATAGATGAATTGAGTTAAGGAGAAGCGCAAAGATAAAGCTTAGTCATTCAGGGACTATGTAAGGGAGGAAACAAAAATATGTCCTCTTGAGATACTGAGGTCTTGAAAATAAAAGAGAAGTGCAGAAAAATGGCAGCCATCATTTAAGGTGGGGAAGAAGCAAGTCAGGGAAACATTAAAAAAACCAAAAAACAAGTGGAAAGTAAATAGTCATTTGACCAAAGTCCTGGCAATACTAACCTCAGTTTTGCTTTCAATGGAAGCTCCATACTTCAACAAAAGCTCCACAACCTTGATTCGGTTCTTCTTGCAAGCAATGTGGAGAGGGGTGAAGCCGTTCTGTGGAGTAAAGAAAACAACAAGATTGTCATCTGTACAATTCTGAAGATTTATACAGGACATCAATAAAGAACTAGGTCTGTTAGAGAAAATAATTCCTCTGCTACTGTTTATAATTAGCTTTCATTTATAACCAACAGGCACAACAGCAGTCATATTTTGTTATGAAACGGAATAAAAACTCACTGAAAAGGGTAAAAGGAGTAGATTACACTAGAGTGCACACCAACAACCAGGCCATTATCCACAGATTTGTCATAAAAATGTACAAGCACAAAACCAGCAAAACATGAACTATGAACTAACTTGGACTTAGTTAAATACATAATTCCAGCAAACAGAGATTTTCAATAACAACAACAAAAATGCCCCCACTTGGGGGTGTACTTCATGTCTTTTCAGCGCAATGGCAAAGAGCTTTCCACTACATTAAAGATGCTAGTCACACAACTTATCACTAACTAAACTATCTGCATCACTCACCAGAGCCCGAGCATTGGGCTCACACTTGCGGTCCAGGAGCAGTTTGGCAGTCTTCACATTCCCACAATGAGCGGCCACATGGAGCGGGGTCAGGTAGTCCACGGTGACTTCATTCAGGGAGGCCTTGTGGTAGAGCAGCAGACGGGCACAGTCCTCGTGGTCGCCCTGGGCTGCCATGTGCAGGGGGGTCAGTCCGTTCTGGGGAAGGGGTCACAGCAGGTTTTTAGATATGGTCAGGGTCAGAGATACAGTCAGGTAATCATCATAGTAATCAGTAGCCTGTCCACCAATGTGGCGTCGGTGGCCGAGTGGTTAGGCTACCGGATTCGTAATAGTGAGGTTGAGGGTTCGGGGGTTCGAGCCGCGGGCCCGACGTGGTGTCCTTGGGAAAGGCACTTTACACAAATTTTCCTCACTTCACCCAGGTGGGAATGGGTACCCGGCCATAGACAGCGAAAGATCTTGTCAGTGTGTTAGGCTATAAATGGCTGCTTGCACTGTATGCTTCCCAGGAAGTTGAGGTTGTTTCAGAATGCTCTCAGGTCCGCTGGGGTAATAGTATAGATTGTGAAGCACATACAGCTTTCTGTTGAACGCGGATTTGTGCTCTACAAATGTTATCTATCTATTAAGACAATTTTTAAACACTGCAGAGGCCACCAACCTTTGTCTTAGCAGAGTGAGGTGCTCCCTTTTCCAGCAGCGTGTCCACCACAGGGTCATGGCCACTTCTGGCTGCACAATGCAGAGGGGTCAGCCCATCCTGGCACAGAGAAAACATAGGTTATCATTTGTTTGCTCGAGCAAACAGAAGCACATCGACACAATAATAGTCATTAAGTGCAGGGAAAAAGTAAGATAGACAGACAGAAACAACAGTGGGAAAGTAAAGAAGTAGGACCTACCAGTGGTGCCCGCCAACCACCTGCACAGGTTAACCGTATTACAACAAATATACATCATAAGGCCACACTTTCAACTACACTCAGAGAACACACACACACAACAGCACTGACACAAAATAGCTTTTTTTAGTTTAGTTCTAGTAAGAGTTTTACAGTACTTGCAACAAAAATAGTTCATATTCATGCCAAATATTACAATGTTACTACAGAGTACCATATATAAAGAAAAGAAGGAGATATAAGGACGACAGACATTAGGTTAGAAAGAAAGAGCAAACCACATCAGAGGACCCGCCAAAACAGTTTTACCTTTAGTTTTAGTAAAAGTAAACTGAAACAAATCAGCGTGACAACTGTATGCAGGAACTCAGACAACAGCACAACAAACATCATATACTAGAACAATGGACATCATGTACTAGGACAACGGACGTGAACCTCACCCTTGTCTTCTCGTCAATGGCTGCGTTGCTGTCCAGCAGAAGGTTCACCATATTCAGCTTCCCCCAACGTGAGCCCACGTGCAGGGGAGTGATGTTGTTCTGAAACCAAGGGAAGTCATATCATTTCAAGTCTCACAGATGAAAATTAGCCTATCTCCCTCACTGTTTTTCTTTCTCAACATATCACACACACACACACACAAACACACACACACTTCAAATTCAAAATCAGTGAGCTGTAGATATCGGAGCGAAATCAACCAGTCATTATGCCACCCCTTCCAAAGTAAACAAAGAGTTCATGACAGATCTTTTAAGCTCTTGCTCTTGCCAAGCGATTAGAAAACAATAAGAGAAAAAAAATTCCCTGCATTTTTGTACCTCAGAGAGATTGGCAAGTTACAAGAAACAAACACACTGTCAATGATCTGATAATCCTCGCTTAGAAGTGAAAATGAAAACGAAGGATAAATTATTGGAAGAAAATTCCAAGGTACCAAAATCTTTCTAAGTAAACAAGAACAATTTCAATTGCATGTAAAGACAAAAGCATTTTTAATTTCTGCAAAACAACATCATGTCAAAACCCGAGACATGACTCCATGTTACTTTTTTTAACATCACTGTACAAACCTCATAATCCATGATGATAACAATTTTAAAAGCATCGAGAACATTTTTTAATGGAAACATTGCAGAAAACATGTCTCACCTTTGCCCTGAAATTGACATCGGCATTGCGTTGAATCAGAAGGTTGGCAACGTTGGTGTTGCCATAGTGGGCAGCAATGTGAAGGGGCGTGAAGCCACTCTGGGGACACACACAATTGTCGGATCAAATAGTGGAACTTACAAAGAAGTAGAAGTAGAAATGAAGGTGTTAAAAAATAATACCAAAATAAAAACAATTCAGGAAAAATAAAACAACTGTTACAAAAGAGGAAAACAAGTTATCCAAAAAGGTAGGTTATTTACAAAAATGAAACGATGGAAAAAATCATTAACCATGTCAAAATCTTTTTTAAAGTAAAAATTATTTCTCTAACTAAGAGTAGCATGCAGATAGGTTCATTCCACGGAAAACAGTAAAAGTTCAGTCTTGAAATTTTTCATTGTCCAGAGCGAAAGTAAATAAATAAAATTTGTAAAGACTAACTTTCCACATATGTACTAACCATACCAGGGCTGCCCACACACGACCACAGGTTTTAGTAATCAACAATTTTTAAAAAACTATCTGGTTCAAAAATTTATTTGTTATGTGGCCAAGGATCATTGGCCTAAGCCATCACTCACATCCCTAAGCACAGGACATTTTTAACACCTTGAGGAACTTTTTTTACCCAACTCCTGGCTTTGGCACAACTTTTGTTTTACTAAGGGCAAAGCGGCACTGAACAACTACAGGAGCTCTGTGCTCAGAGGGTGTTGAAGCTAGAAAGCTACACCTCAGATGGACTGTCAATGCCTGATTGTTTTTCCTTCCTTTACACCTGGAGGGCGTGGATGAGTTGGGGTAGCCGAATGCCAAAATAAATGGGGGGGGGGGTGTTATCAGGAATTAGGGGCGTTACAATTATATTTTTATAAAAATGAAAAAAAAATTGTAATGATTTTGCCAAATTTATAATGATCGACAGCCCTGCTAAACCAATTGATCTGTCAACTCTTTGTCTTTAATTTATTTCAATTTTTTCAAACTTCTGCACTCCTATGAGAGAAAAGATACAGAAAAATTAGATGACAGAAAAGGAGACATGCTGAATTTCTCAATACAAGCTGATGCAAACTTTCAATTTCTTACCATAAACTGCATCATCATTCAACAAGGGAATGGGGGAGGTAAAAAACAAACCAAATCAAATGTTAATTTTAAAAGTGCAAAAGATAAAATAAACTGCAAACACTACACGTGATCATGTGAAAACTGCAAACTTCAAACTATGAAACATACAAACCTTGGTAGTGTCATTGACCAGTCCTCCCTTATGAATGCGTGAATAATACAAGGCAAATGATGTTAGTATAGGTAAATGTGAGGGTTATTAGAGAGTGAAAAATAAGTTCATATAATAAACCCATTGTCCAAAAATCTAAGAAAGAATAGGTAGGCTAACTGGTCCAGCTAGAAAAAAACTAACACTTTTGCTATCATCTCCAGCCGCCTTTTTTTTTTTTATTAAAGAAAAAAGGGGTAAAATTTGTGCAACAAGTGCGTAATTTTCTGACAGGAGTTTAACTATCAAATCATATGGTGTACCTTTCAATTTCAGGTACTTTTTAAAGCATTAAAAATACAACATAGCAATGGGTTGCATTGGTCGAATCTACCAAAATCACATTGCGGATAGGGGGCAAGTGGGTGTGACTCATTTCCAGCCAATTGAAGATGATGTTTCATCCCTAAGATAACATTCTGTGATCATTCTTCCTTATCATACTTGTCAATCCACATCTATTTCAGAAATGATGAAATTATAACATAACACACTATGTAAAGGGGAACTGCAAGATACCTATGGAAGCACAGCCAGCATGAAACATTACAAAATGAACACGCACAAGTCCCTAACAGGCTATAAAAATTGATGACCAGTGTGCTTTGACCAATAGAATAAGTGGTAATATATATCCCTTGATTGATAAACCAAAAAGAAAAAAATGCTGAGAAATATTCCCTGAAGAAACTATTTTTATTAAGTGCTAAAGGCAAAAATGCTGACCAAAATCCCAAAATGGAAAAAAAGTACCGATCCAACATCCCTCTATAATACCCTATAATATAAAATCACTAACATTTCTCCTGCTTGAGTCAACTACTAGCTTGAAATAGCTCTGCAGATAGTGAATAACATTCCCTCACCAAAACTGTCACCAACCCTGGCTTTTTCCCAGTAAGACATGAGCACAATTTTAAGAAGAACACCAAAGACCAAGCATCTTATATAACATGCCCTCTTATGACTCACTTTATGAGCTGATTAAGACCACCAACTTTTTTTGCAGGACAAATGTTAAGCAATATCATTCACAGGTTAATGTGCGGAAGAAAAATATATTCCGAAACATAAAAAGGTGTTGACCAACATCCCAAAAAGAAAAAAAAGAGTCCAGAAAATGTCTCCACTGCTGTGGGATGTTTCCCTCACCTTGGTCTGCAGCTCCACACTGTTCTGTTCATTCTGGAGGAGCAGAGCGGCAGACTTGACGTCATCCTTCTTGGCAGCGATGTGGAGGGCTGGCAGGCGTACCTTGCCCTTGGCGTCGTGTTCCAGGAGGACAGAGACCACCTTGTCATGACCTTGCTGTAGGGCTACGGCCAGAGGAGTGAAGCCATCCTGTAGGGAAGACAGGCGAATATGGTAAACGTACATCGAAGTGAGTGAGTGGGTTGCCGTATTGTTTATGGGGCTTATTTTTTTCAACGCTCTTTTTTTTTCTTTTTGGAGAGAGGAGATCCTAGTTTGGATTCTTGTCGGCATTTTTTTACTGGTGGCAGTGGTGGGAAGTGGGTGGGTGTATTTTTTTATCTTTCCAAGAAAAAACTATTCAAATTAAAAACTACACACCCACCCACACTGATAGAGTTACAATCAGTGGAGAGTCAGTGAGATAACAGCCACATTTCATCATAGACCAAAACAACAATAATACTAAAATAAGAAGCACAAGAAACAGAGAACACAAAAGTAGTCATCAACCACCCATTCACACACACACACACTGAAAACATCTTTCTTTTAACTTCCATGACTAATTTTCCAAAATTTACCTCTGTGGAGAGCCCCTGGTTGGCTCCGCTGGAGAGCAAAAACTTGACCACCTCTGCGTGTCCCTCCTGGGCCGCCATGTAGAGCGGTGTGAAGCCAGCCTGAGGAGAAACGTTCACACATAGCGTCACCAAAATAACAAATCAGAGTGTTGAAACTTAATCAATGAGGAATAAGATGGGAAGTAGAAACAAACTATTCCCTATTAATATATTCTTATCTATTCCAAAATTTATCAGAACTTTCAAAAACTATTTAAATCTCAACAAGATGTAAATATAATAGTATATTCTCAGATTTATAATGAGGAAAGCTGTGGGGATTTTTCAAAAGGGAGCTTGAAAACAGTAATGGTACAGAAGAGTGGGTCTGGAGTGAAATACTGGAATGTTCACATTATTTCAATAAAACATTTCGATAAGCAATCCTCATTCATGAAATAAAGTTATTCGAATTCCAAAATTTCTGACAAGTACCCACACCCAGAACAAGCAATCCAGAAGATTAACAATCAAACACTGACAGAGATTTCTATGTGGTGTCGGTAGTCTAGTGGTTCGGCTACCAGACTCGTTATTGTGAGGTTGCAGGATCTGGGGTTCGAGCCTAAGGCCCGACATTGTGTCCTTGGGAAAGGTACTTTACACATATAAACTGCGCCTTCCGAGAAATTTGAGATTGTTTCAGAATGCTATCAGGTCTGCTGGGGTAATAATACAGATTTTAAAGTGCATAGAGTTTCTATTGAGGTATTATTATTATTCTGTAATAGCTCCTCACCTGAGCCTGTAGGTTGACCTGTGCTCCATTCTCCACCAGGGTCACCACAATGTCCTCGTGACCGGCCAGGGAGGCAATGTGCAGGGCAGTGTTGCCTTTCTGTTAGTGAACAAAACACAGCAGTTTCTCAGTACAAGCTGATGAAAACTTTCAGTTTCATATTCAAATACTGTATCAACATTCTTTTCAAAGCTAACAGTTTTTTGTATGCAAAAATATCATTTACAGAGTAACTTTTTCTGTATTTGGATTAAAGACCAGTACCTGTTCAGTTCTAGTCACTGTAAAATGTAACTGTAAATGCTATCTATTATTAACATCTAAGAAAGCAAATACACATGCACCTGCATCATGTTCATTGTTCCTTTCTTTCTTTTTTTTAAACTTTTTTTTTAACTCAGGGTACCAGCATGCTATGTTGGGACTATTATTGACACTGAACAAAGCCTTCTGGAACCATGACTGGACAATAGCTTTCATTAACTCAAACCTAAGTAGCCCGTATTTTAATAATCATCTCATCAACAGAATAACACAAAGCACCCTTGCTCCTTTTCTATTTCCTCTAGAACAAGTGATGAGTATTACCTTGGTGGCTGCTTCAACATTTGCCCCACGCTTCAAGAGCTCCGAGACGATGTTAATGTGACCTTCTTTGGACGCCAGGTGCAAGGCGTTGAGTCCATTCTGAAACAGGCCACAGGATGGTCAGTCATTTCTGTGCACTATTGTTATCTATTATCATATGGTCGCTTTCAAGCACAAGGGGGCTATCCCGAAAAATGCTGTTTTGAAAAAATCGATGGTAAAGTTTTTACCCCTTGTTCAATTTCTTTAAAAGACAAGCAGAGTTTTCTCTGTAACCAAACATATATACACACACCAATGAAACCAAAATTCTCCTGTAGGTAGGGCAAATCCCACTTTTGGTGTAGGTCAAGATTTCTGGAAATCACCAAAATCTGGGATGGCCCGCTTGTCCTTAAAGGCGATCATATATGGTGTGACTCAATATGTTTTAGAAATATCAACACAGAGTACCAAAGCTTTATTGAAGAAATAAAAAAATTTTAAAAAGAGAAAACATACCTTTTTAAACCATGTTGAAATGCATAAGCATGGACTTAAAATTATTTACAGATGATATTGTCAAATTCATCTGGTTACAATATATAGATAGTGCAATATCCAGATAATTTCAGACACCCAGATTTCTGCTTTTTTTTTCTTTTTTTTTAAAACTGACTTCAGGATTTATCAGGAAAATAAATATCACTGAAAACATGACAAAAATAGCCTCAGTTCACTGGAAGGTTACATCTCCCAACAACTATTACCACTTGCTTTAAAGAATCCATTTATTGTGACCAGAATGTTTCTATAATGCTTAACTTGCACTTCCTAATCTATTCTCAGCTGCAAATAAATATATATTACAATTTTCATCATTTATACTTCGTCCAATATTACTGAGGTACTGACGAACTTTTATTACAAAGATCAGAAATGTTGATGGCCGTCAATAGCTTCACTGTCCCAACAAATGACAACCAGCATTTCACTCGGCTTGAGCAAGGAAAAAAGGACAGTGAAAAGCCTCCGGAGTTTAACCTGTACCATGAGAAAAGGGTCACAATCCCTTCCTTTTCTTTCTCATGGAATTAGCCTTCAATTTCCAAAGAAGCATTGAGCTAAAATGATCTTCAAATTTTTTTCTATTTACAAAATCTGTAAACTCTTCACACACAAAAAAAGAAGCAAAACTTTACTCTCACAACTATGCTCATTGCCCCACTCTTGAAATGATTGCCCCACTCTTATAACGATCAGTAGTATAAGGTGCCCCAGTTCAGCTGAAAACAACTTATCACGAATATAAGAAAACGACAGGCAAATTTTTTCGGACACACAATGCGGAAAGAAGCATTAGAGAACATTGTAACAACAGGAAAGTTTGATGGAAAGAGAGGTAGAGGCAGACAGAGGGAAAAGATACTGGACAAGATGACAACATGGCTGGGAGCAGCAAGAACAACAGACACCATTGCTGCTTCGAAAGACAGATGGAAGTGGAGGTCCATGATCGCCCACGCCAGTCGGCAAGGCACCGGATGATGATGATGAGTTCAGCTGCCTCACAGCATAGCTCAGTAGTTTACAGCCATAACAAAAAACCTGCCAGAACTCAGCAACTACAATCAAACCATAAATACAATCAAACTTTATGGTTAATGATTAAATCATTCATTTCTACAGAGTTTGGTGTTCATTTCAAGCAAATGAATTGAAAAGGGGCTGAGGTATACAGAAGTTTGTGATGCTGAAAACTTGGATGACAAAATTAGCTGTGTGCAAAGGAGAAATAGCCCTATTTCCTTGTACAAGGAGTTAAACATGAAAAGCACAAGACAAATAGCCACTGACCGGGTTGCTGGTGTTGATGTCGGTGCTACCCCTGAGGTAGTCCAAGACTTCCTCCAGGTTCCCATCGCGAGCAGCTCGCAGGAAGCCAGCGTTCCCATCACTCTGAAAACAAAAAGAGAGACAAAAATTTGATCAGATCAAAGTTGAGAGCTCAGGGAGGAGATCAAATAAAATGTATTACGTCACACTAAATCAATTTGTATTGCTAATGGATCATTTAGTTCTTCTACTTCGCTAATTTTGTTGCTCCATCATTTAGTGACCCTTTTAGTTTGGTGCAGGTATGCCTTTCTTTCACCACACTAAATTGGTCTTTAAAAAAAATCTCTTCAGGTTTTAACAACCCTCAGCATACATTAGAACAACATGTAGTGACAGTAAGAAAAACAAAGTGTTTGAAGGACACTGAAGAGAGGGAGGGATGAAGGACGGAAGAAGGATGGGAAATGGGGGAGGGGAGAAGGGAGAGAGAGAGAGAGAGAGAGAGAGAGAGAGAGAGAGAGAGAGAGGGAGAGGGAGAGGGAGAGAGAGAGAGAGGGAGAGAGAGAGAAAGAGAGAAAGAGAGAGAGAGACAGAGAGAGGGAGAGAGGGGGGGGAGCAAACAACAACAGCAGCAGAAGTGTAAGTAATTTTAAAAGGATTAGCGTCATATCCTGATGTTGTTGTTTTTTTATCCTGTGAATATTAGTGTGACTTGTGTAAGGGGGGAGAGCGGAGGGGTGGGGGTGTCTGGAGAGCGTTATTGTGTCTCCTTAAGTACAAAGGGAGGGGTTGGCATACAGAAGAAGAGAAATGAATACGACGACGAAAACTAACACAAAACAGAACAGAGAACATCAGTTCAACCCCCATTCCCCAAAGGTCAACCGTTAACACCCATACAGCTTCCTGTCACCTAACAGCACCCACAACAAAATCAAACAATAAATGTATCTTTTTTAACTGACAAAACAAAAGCAACAACCATATCAACAGCAACAGAAAAACAACAACAACATTAGGACAAACAAGCAACAATTAGCAACAGATTGTCAAACGCAACAGAGACCGGGAAAGAGGGGCTCAAACTCAAAAAAGTGTTCGCAGGAAAAAGGGGGCGAAACAAAACCAACAAATTTCATGAGCTTCGCTATCTCCAACACGTCATTGTCTGGTGCCAATAACAACGTCCGGGTCACCACAACTTGACCAGCCCCGACCCACCCAGCCCCTTCTCATGGCCCTATCCCAGGACGGGATGAGTCATCCAGAGACATGAGACGCCATTGCCATCGATCTCCAGCGGCTGCCGAGCAAGGTGCTAGCCCCCTCGCTCTTTCTCTATCTTTTTTCCTTCCCACTTTCGGTTTTACTTCACGTCACGCACACTGCATCCCAACCCCATTTTCATCCACACTCAGATCCCCCCTCCCCCTCCAAGCTTCTCCTTTCCCCATTTTTCACAACTCCACCAACAGAGCAACCATCAACACCCCATCCCCTCCCCCTCCTTTTATACACACAAAACCCACATCATTCTATACTCCCTTTTTCTCAGATCCCCTTCTCTTTTCCACGTATTACGTAAACGTATCTTGCCGTTATCGCCATGGGACAGCATCACTCCCACCCCTTTTTCTACTCC